GCCTCCGCGTGAAAGAGCGCAGGCTGCGGGGAAGCCCCTCGCCTCGGGCAGAGCACCGGCAAGGCCGCGGGGGCACCTGCCCCTCAGTAGGGGCAATACAGATGCTCCGGGGCTGGCTGTTCATCCACATCTTTCAGGCCTTGCGGCTGGTGCGCTCGGGCCCTAAAAGCCGCACAGTCGCTAAAAACGTTTTGCGGAACTCGCTGCGAGGCTGTGGCAGGGGGGACTTGCACCCCCCATAACCCGTCCCCGTACAGAGTTTTTCAACAATTCGCTTGTTCCCTGATGAGAAAGTGGAGCGGGTGGTGGGAGGGCTCCTTCGATTTTTGGTTTGTGAATAAAAAAACAAAGGATACGGTAATTTGCTACTTAAAATGTGGAAGGACACACATGCAAACCTGAACAACGTAAATGTGTAAGAAGTAGATGTATCTTCCTTGGTAACAGGTGGATCCATTTAAGACAGTTTTAAGTTAAATCCTAATAGTTATCATGCAAAGAAGAATAATCAAGCTTTTTCTAGGAAAAAGTTACAAAAAAGCTTACAAAAGGAAAAAATTAAAATTGGTCATTAAATCAAGGCCTAAAGTGTCTTCTTTTAACCAATGATTTACAGTGCTGCAGTTTGTTTCTGATGAATAACTAGAACTTGTTGACAGCACAACAGTATGAAAAGCTGTTACTTAGTGGGCAGGCGCAAACTTAGAGGAAAAACTAAGAGGGCTGTAATAACTTCCCTACCCCTATTTTCCCTTTACGCAGCGTGTGCTATTATGTTGTACGTATTCATTGGCACGTGGCTACGCTTGCTTCCTTTTTACCTCTCTTACTGATGTCAGAGTTAATTACTGAACACGTTGGAAACATTTAATTATTAAGCATGATTATGTTAGAGATGATGAACCTGGTCATCAGCTGAAACTCAATAAAAACATTGTATTACACTGGTCATGATTTTGAAAGCGTATGCGACCCCACGTGAGTGGGATAACGTGAATTATTTCTCTAGTAGTAATTTTGAGATGTCCCTACTTTGGAGACAAACAGGAAGACATATGATCGATGAGGTTCTTCTGTCACATAAACTCACAAAAGCGAGAAACTCCAGCAGTTTCAGGGGTGGAAACCTAAGAATGCTAGAACTAATGAGTGTTAGAAAGTAGCTTTTCTGAATTGAGTAACTTTGAGCATCGCTTTTTTCAGTTTTTGTTAGTGAAGCAGGTACTTACCGATAGAATCACTAAATAGGATTTATGTTAAAGCCAGACACACAACATTGTTTCCCGTATAACACCACAGAAAGTCATCGTCTTCACAGTGACATCTCGTGTTACTAGTTTTCATATGCAGTTAGTGTAAAAATGCTCCTATTTTTTAAACATCTTCAAGGAACTGTATTAGGATGCTGTCAGACCACATAGAATGGTCATGCCCTCCAGTTTTAAGGATTTCCTCAACCAAAGAATTTATTTTTATAACCTAGATAATACAGGTACTTCGTTTAAAGTCTTGTGAACCCCAAAGAAAAGAAAACCTCATTTGTTCTTTCATACTCTAGTCCGAGCTTCTCTCTCTGTATCATCCTGCTAACAAACTGACAAGTTACTTAAACAGCCTGTTGGCTAGAATTCCATCCTCGTGTAGGAACCCTGACTGTGGGTGCAGCTTTCATTGCAGCAGCATATCTTTATTTCTATATATGTGAAGTTTCCAATACCTGTATTGGCATGCAGCTGTTTTAATGTTAGGGAAATAGTCCCTTCTCCTCTCACTGTGTAACTTCTTTACGTATTAATAGCTCTATTTCATACAAACATAAATCGGTTACCGTATTTTTTGAGTGTACACAACTGAGAAAATAATTAATTTGGTTGATTACTGCCATTTTGATTAAGACTAGCTATAACAGCATCTCATTTGAGTGGACTGCACAATGCTATTTGTGAGTTTTGATATCATGGTGTGGGTGTTTGCCTTCTAGGTAAAAAGAACAAAACCCAAAACAAAAGTAGTACAAATGGAAACAAAGAAATAAAAACGTCCAGCTATAAATTCCTCAAAATATAACCAACTACTCATTTTCTTAGTACATCATCTGGGAGATGCTACCTGTTTTCTTCTGGAAGGATTTTCACTATTAGCAAGGTTACATCTGCAGCTTGAAGTCAAGTGAATCCCTGATCAGAAAAGACAGATAAAACTGCCAAGCGACAGTTTCAGTTCAACTGAAACAACTGAACAATTCCATCAACCTCCTGAAAGTGCAATCAAGGATGACCTCCATGTTTTATAGCTGTCTCTTCATTGATGGATTCACTCCCTGAGTAACAGCTATGTAGAAACTGGCAAGTTTCTGAAAAGTTCTACCCTGCTCACAAGCAAATTCTTGGTTTTGTCTGAGTTACTTCAACCAGCTGTTGCTAATGGTACAGAACTGTCAGCCAGAGGGATAACAGCTGACAGTCCCTAATGGGTTGAACAAAGAGGAGGTCTAGACTAACATGATGCCATCACACTGATAACACTGAAATCCGTATCTCCAGATTTTGTCACTTTTGGTTTCACGTACAAACCGAAAAAGCAGAGGAGACCCATTAAATCCCTTTGAGCTCTCCAAACCAATCTGAGCAACATCAAAATCCATGAGCATCATAGCTGTTTACAGAGAATGGTGTGGTCTGGGATACTGGTGGATACTCTTAAGTAGCAAGAGAGGTTTTTTTCTCCCCTGAGGGTAAAAGGAGTTTGCAAAACTGTAGCAGAACTTATGTTTGTGCTGAATCCTTTTCACAGTCTGAACGCTAGCAAAACGTGCTATATACATTTTTTGCTTATAGTTCAGCATTAGTAAAGCATTTTCATAAGCTTTAATTCACCTTTGAACATCTCAGTGCAATTGCTCTAAAAACTTCTCTTTCTATAAAGCTGATAGCACTTTGGCTAGTATTTAAATATTTTGCTTTTGAAAATGTACATGATCCTCTCATTGATACCGGTTTACTTCAATACACCGGACATACACTGGACCACAAGCAACAGCAGCCTGTTTTGTGTGAGATTCAGGCAGTGATATGCAGAGCTGTTGGCTTTCAGCAGACAAGCAGGGAGTGGCTTCAGCCATCTGCCTCTAATCTTACTGTAGTCTTTGAGTCAGTCCCCCAATATAGGTATACAGGTAACACCCAGTGCACCAGATGAGCAATGCTGGTTCACAAACGTTCAGCGGAAACAAAGACACAGACATGGCTGATACAAAGAGTAAATAAGAATTAGATGTGTATCAGAATACTCATACCTACTTTTTTTTTTTTTTGAGAAACTAATTAGAGGTGAAAAGAAATTAAAACGCCCACCCAAGCAAGCAGATCTATGAGAATACACAAACTGAAGGTAGATGGAAGAATTCAGCATAAAGGTATTGTGAAAAACCGCAGCCAGTTAGCTCATTTATTGAGCTCTCTCCTTCACAAGGAGCTTTACTATGATTACACATAGAACAAAAATTGTGCAGCACCTTTACTTCAGCACTGCTTTTTTAAAAAATAAATTTATTGTAGCATAGAATCATTATGCCATCTACTGGCAATTTACAGAACAGAAACATTTACTTGGTTGCAATTGACTGAACTGATCTTTACTGGACTCAAATTTCATTCTTTGGTGGAGGAAATTTAATTATTCGTTTAAGTGCAGAGAAAAGGAGCACAATTTTCCTTCTGTAAAAATTTCTAGACCCCCTCTTGCAAGCAGAACAAATACGGGTGTAACATGATAGTAACCTGGAAGCTGGTTTTACAGTACTTTGACTGCAGTCCTCATCTGCTCCTGTTTACTGTAAGATTTGTCCCTACATCTCTGTTAAGCAGCAATTGTGCATAAACCATGCAAGCAGTGTGTTTAAGAACTACAGCACCCATTAAGCTGACTATATAAGAAGCAACGCCACAGAATGGTGCTACACAGTCCTCAGATTCCTGTGTTGTTGCCTGTACGGACACCACCTGTAATCATTCATGTAAGGCTAGAATGACACACCACTGTGACGTTTGGTTTCCAAAAATATAAGCAGTTTAAAACCCCTATTTCCTGGTATGCAGTCTAAATGCTGTGTTGTTTTTTTACATCTGGATTCTACTTCCATAATGCCACAAGGTGGCCTCCACATAATACAGCATTATTGCATCCTTTACAGAATGACATATGAAAGTGTATTTTTGCTTTACTGCAGTAATGGTAATAGACCACCACAAAACGACATTCATTCCTTTGCATTTCAAGCTCAAGAAAAAGTTCACATGCTGTGTAGAATTGGTTCACATCCGATGGGAGGTCAGAGCAACCCAAAGCGGCTGCAAGCACTTTGGTAGGATGTTCTACCAGAGAGAATCCTGTTCAGGAACCGAGTGACACGTCCACAGTCAGAGCAGGTCTGCAAGCTGTCTGCCCTGCAGAGTCTGGGAAATCCTGTGTCCCGCATGCAAAGGGTTACTGTAATTCAGACAGCCTTAAGCAGTTGCTTAAATTATGCTACAGTTACTTCTGTGCTAGAAGAGACTGAAGAAAGGCCAAAAACAGCACAGAGCCTCCTTCTGGCTGGAAGTTTAGGCATTTCTGGCCTATCATGAAATTTTATGCTGGTTTTCAAGGGGATGATTGACCAAAGGCCACTAAAGATTTATTTGCACCATTTCTAAGCCCATTTTTAAAGCTGTGTGAGCTTCAGACACAGCATCACCTCTGCTAAGAAGAGAGACCCTTTTGCTGAACTCTCAGTAAGATTCTTTCCTAGCAGAACTTCCCTAACTTTTTAATTTAGAAAAAATTAAAATTTCATTTAGAAAAAATTCCAGATTTTTTGGCGGTCTTTATTTTACACGATTTATAGTGGGGCTTACAAGTATAACAATGCAATTGTAACTGGAGCAGCATTTTCTAGATAATACACCAAAGAATGTTTATCAAGTATGTTGTTACAAAAACTATTACAGCGTGTACTGTTAGGAAATCTGGATTCAAACAAAATATGATAGTAAAACCTGTGCACTTGTATTATTTGACAAAGCAAAAGAAACAAAGCTGGGCCTTCAACTCATTCTCTTATTCATAGAAAATTACAGTGGCTCTAATTCA